CTTTTATCACTTATGAAAACAGAAGACAATTTCAGTTCCCAAAACACTGTGCAAAATCAATGATCCTAGGATCATTCTCAAAGTTGACAAGTGATTCCACATTGTCCTTATTAAAAGGAAAATTAGATAATGAGATCTGTTTTCTTTAGCACCAGTGTCACTCCCTAGAAGTTGTATATTTAGGAAGACAAATCAATACTTTAAGTTCAAAAAGTTACTGTTCAGGCTTCCCTGGTGGCGCAGTGGTTGAGAGTCTGCCTGCCGATGCAGGGGACACGGGTTCGTGCCCCAGTCTGAGAAGATCCCACATGCCGCGGAGCGGCTGGGCCCGTGAGCCATGGCCTCTGGGCCTGCGCATCTGGAGCCTGTGCTCCGCAACGGGAGAGGCCACAGCAGTGAGAGGCCCGCGTACCGCAAAAAAAAAAAAAAAAAAAAAAAAAGTTCAATGAACTATCTCTTTACTACAAGTACATTCATTTATGCAATCATTTAATTTATTTTTCTTTTCCATTCATTTATTAAATTTCTATGATGAATTTAATAAAAAATTTTATTTGCTATTTCCTTTAAAAAATATTTATTCAACACCAACAATGTGCCAGTCATGGTGCTAACACTGGGAATATTAAACCATCCTAAATGTATTAGGTCTGGTTTCACAAGCCATATCTCCTGGAGTGTAAACAGAAGGTCATAATAATAGGGAAAAGTGCCATTTGTCTGGCTCTTTCTCCTCTCTGTATCAGGACCTCCAACCATTATTCAGGTTACTGTCCAGCTATTTGTGGTAGCTGTAGGAAATATCTCTTATATGTCCATGAGTCCATCCTCCCAACTCCTAGTTTTCTCCTTTTCTTCTCTGGTTCTCTATGGTATGCCAGGTCTTCTAAAGAGTATCTACCAATGACTGACCACAGATTGTTCTTTCCACCTCTGCATATGATGCCTGCAGTTCTTTTTGCCTGTATAGTAGGACGTGGTTATCCTATGAAGGGGTGTTGTTTTACGTGCTGGCACAGAGGTGCTTGCAAGTCATCAGAATTAATCCATCAGAGCAATGTTCTTTCAATGCAATCCGTTCCCCTTCTTTTGTTATAACATGATTTCACCATGGGGTTCACCTGTGACTTTTATTATTTAAACAGACTAGTCTCCTAGTTATTTTCTCTATGCACTAGTCATTGACTGATAAACATAGGATTTAACAGTCATATATATAACATGATAGTATCTAGCTAGACAAATAGGTGTTTCGCATGTATCAATGAGTTTTCTTGGAGAAATACTGGGCAGTGCTTTAGCAAACTCTTCTTCTAGTTTTCCTAGTTTCAAACCACTGACATCTCGCCTGAACCTCTTATACCTTATATACTTATTAGAAAGGGAAAAGACCACTTGTATCAGTCAGATTTCCATGATAGACGCAGAAGCCATTTAGAACTTTTTGAAAGGGAGTTTTTATTCAGCGATTTAAGTGCTTCCAAAAACTTTGGAAGGGCTGAGGGAGCAGATTCTAGGCTGTACTCTTCTGGGACTTTGCAGAGCCAGACAGAACTGGTTCCCTAGTGGGGCCACTGCTTTTAAAGTTACCACTGGAGCTCTGACAGAAGCAATAAGTTTTCGCCACTGCCCTGCAAATGGGCACCAAATACTGCTTCAGAAAAGATCTTATGTACCAGCAACAGGAGCCAGGAGCTGCCAGACTTTAGCATCTGCCCACCTACTTCCTTCTGACATCTATCCTAAGTACTTCTAATTGGCTGAAACTTGTTTGCATCAAAAATGATAGCGGCAGAGTTTGGGAAATGTATAATTTTGCTTTATAACCCCCCCAAGTAAAAATAGAGTGGTAGGAGTTCCAATTCAGAACTATATATTAAAATCAATTCCCTTTTGTCAGTAAAGTGCTACTAGTCATTAACTTGGAGTGGGGAGAGAGGGTCACAGTAGTAGCAACCTAGTAGAAAGGCAAAAGCAATGAATTTAGAGGACTTGGGTATAATTCTAGCTCTGACATTTGTGAACATGAGTAAGTCATTTGCTTTCTCTGAGCCTTAGTTTCCACATTTGATAATCCAGGCCACCTCACAGGGTAATTAAGAGGATAATGTTAGACATGAATGTAAAAACACTTCATAACTATCAGGTACTAAGCAATTGCAAGCAGATAGGATCAATAAGAATGATTAAAGAAAAATGAGATCATGTCCATTACTGTTAGATGTTTGGTGCTAAATATATTTTATTTTATTCTAGTTTTTGAAAACTGATGACCCTATTTTTATATAGTCTGTAAGTTACCACATTATCTCATTTTCCAATCAACTGGGAATTTCATGTAAATAGGAATGATCAAGTTAAGCTTCCCATAAATATTTGTGGTGCCATCTCATATTATGATATCATAGAACTCCTAGATCTTTTCAAAGACATTGTTTTAATAAATAATAAAAGCCATGTTTGAATTAGTTTACTCTGTCATTTACATGTCTAATTTTGTAGTCTCAAATGCTTCCTAAATTCACATTAGAAAGTCTTTCAAATTTTGTAATTTTTGTGATCTTGTGTAAATATATGTTTAGCTCACTTTTTAGTTTACCAAGTCACTGTGAAGGGTGTTTTAAGCTCTGGACAGTAAAGAATGAAGGTTTCTATAGCAAGCCCCTTGATAACAGAAAAAGAGTTTGACTAGGGAATTACTTTTCATTTTGTGTTATCATTTAGATTGAAAAAATATAAACTCATAATTATCTAGTGTGATTTACTATTTTGATTGAGCTCCAGTTGTCAGTGTGATAAGATGACCTTATAAGCAGTAGAACATTAAGCCCCCAGAAATCAATAAATATAATAAAATCCTTTTACTTCCTTCCTACTCACCAAATCAATTGCTTTTTACCTTCTGTTTTTTTCATGAAAGTTCTACAGTTCATTTTACTACCTGTCAAAAGTGAAATGTCTTTTTTTTCTGAGGAGATACAGTTGTTCAACATTTCAATTCTCTCATTATTTTTTACCTCTTTGCCTCTGGAAGATTCGCACACTTATCTAGTATTCTGGGCCCAAAATTTGAAATAAAATATTAAACAGTGATAAAAAATGGACACTAACAAAATGATTGGTGAAGGTTATTAGGATTCATACACCAATTATTTTGTTATTCTCCTAGTCATGGGACAAGACGGTTATGAAACCTCGGTATGAATCGCTTGAAAGAGTAATAAGAGTATAACAGATTGTCTTCCCCCTTTTTGTAAATCAGAACTACTTCTCTAAGCAACAGTCACACAAATTCTATTTATCGGACAGAAAGGTTTGAACACCCTTGACCTTAGATTTCTCTCATGAGAAAGTTCATCTGTATCTCATACCCAGTGCATCCACATCTTGGCTACTCTGCGATACTCATCCTCAGAACACTTTGTGACAATTCACTGGGCAACATGGAACTAACCAGAGATCTAAGGCTTTTTCCAGTACATGCTTCCCAGTGAGTGTCAGGGTAACAGTAGTTGCCTGCTCCCTCTGGTAGTTTCCTACTAGATTTGTTACTGGACTTTTCCAACTTTACTTTATATTGAAAATACAGTCTCCTGGAAGAAATATTTTTCCTCTGCACACACAAAGAAATGAATTTTCCTCAATACCTAGCCAAAGACTCCAGATCATTTTATAGCATTGATTTCATAATTCAGTCTTTCTACAGTCATTTATTGTAATAGATGTTAGAAAACACATACTCCTAGTGAAAGAGAGGTGAATTTGGCTATGCAATGAGGGTCATTCCATAAAAGGAAGAATGAAGGAAACTTGCAAAATATTTAGAGCCCATCTTCTGAACTGAATGTGGCGTATGACTTAGGTATTGTAGATATGTGACCCATTCACTACTTGCTTATTATGCCAAACTGAATTCTTTTCCTATGCTGTGTGTCATGTAATAGAAAATATAAATGGCAATTGTCAACACTTTTGTGTTCTGTTTATTGATTCAATCAGCCTTCACGTATTACTGTATATTGTCATTTATAACCTCAATTGATGAGATTCAATCCTATAAGGCATCTTTATAAAGCAGATAAGCATTTAAAGGGAGAAATATAAAGAAGCAGAAATTAGAAGACTGCAGATCTGTATCATGTACTTCACAATATAATACCATTCTTCGACAATTTTTTTCATATTCTTGTTTTAAATTTATACCTCTTTTCCTTTAGAGTTGACTGTCTACCCAAGGCAAGTATCTCATAGTAAACAGTAGGCTTTATAAAAATAAATTGAGCTGCTAAGACCCAAAACCAATCTTCACTTTTCCTTTACCGTCAGTATCCAAAACATCACTGAATCTTGTGTGGCATTTATCCCCAGGCTTTTAATCCAACCACCAACAATCAAGTTTAGGTACTCATGTGCCCTCTAATCTGCGCCATTGTAATAGCTTCCTAATGCACAGCCTTGATTCATTTCTTCCCCACTTCTAGTTCATCTTAACATGTTGTGACTATATCCTTCTTCCCAAGACATAGAGCAGATCATGGCCCTCCATATGCTCACAGAGCTGCCTGTCTATACTGTTCAAATAGAATAAATCCCAATCCCTCAGGTCAACAGTGAAAGCTTATCACCTTATGGTTCATACCTACCTTTCTGGTTGTCTTCAACATCATAGACACACACACACACACACACACAAACACACTCCACATTGGGCTATTCTGTCTTCCATATTTGGGTACTTACTCAAGTGGCACCTTTTGTTTTTTCATATCTGTCTGAGAAAGGGCCATATCTTCTTCCTATCTTCCCCCCAAACCTTCTATATTCAAAATTCAGAGTTAATCTTAGCTACACACCACATGCCCAAAGTATTTACTATGTCTATCATAGAATTATAAAACTCTACCCTATTAGTTTTTATATTTCTCATCCTTAGCATAGATGTTTGTTAGTTGAATTCAGTTGGCCACACTCCATATGATGTTGTTCTGGCTTTCTTTTAGGAACATGGAATACCTATCAACATGGGCTATGCTGTGGCACCACATCACTCAGGGGTCTACCCAGTTCATATTCAGCTGTATGCAGCTTGGAAGAAGGTCTGGGGTATTCAGGTCACCAGCACTGAAGAGTATCCACATTTGAAACCTGCACGGTACCGAAAGGGCTTCATTCACGATAGCATCATGGTGAGCACATACTGCTGTGTGTATTGAAGGTTCTTAGTATCTACATGTGGAATGAAGACAAAATCTAACTTCAAAACTCTTTTACATGAGTATCATAAATCCCTTGCCTACCATGGTGGTCACACATTAATACATTGCTTACCCATAGACTTGCTTCTTAAGCTGTGGGGTAGTTTTGGCAAATTCAATGCAAGCTCAAAATATTGGAAACGGGTTTCATATAGGTCATCCATTGCAGTTTCTGGATTAAAGTTTTGTCTAGGGATCTTATACTTCTGGGGAGTTTCTCCATGTCTATTAAACACCTCTTAAGTCACTACACTATCAACAGACAGAATCTAACAAATAGCATCTGAAAGCTAAATTTACCTATTCAGTTTATTTTGGCTTTCAGACACTCAAGAATCTTAGGATAGCATTTTTCATTGTTCTTTTTCTTGCATACTATGAAAACAAAGGTATATATTTTCTTTTCAGATAAATTAACAGAAAAAATAATAATCTGATGTAAGAATGATATGCTCCTATAAATGAGAATAAAACCAAGTGAATATTAGATGGGAATTTATAATTATTCATTGGAATGAAAAAAATCCTATTTTTTACTTTGAGATAAAATAGTTCATTTTAAAACTTCCATCCCCACGTCCAGTGCCTTAGGTCCTGTTCTCATCATCAATTGCCAAGATCATAGGAAAGGTTTACAAACTGTTCTCCCTCCTTTAAATATTTACATCTTTTCAGTCCATTGTTCAGATTGCTATTCGAATTATCTACCTGTCTGTCTGTCTATCTAATAATTATCTAAAACCAAAGAAAAAATAATAGCACATATGTTAACCAGAGCTAATACTCAATATTCTTTAATCATAAAACTTTAATATTTTATTGTAAATTGGTACTAGAAGGCCTAAAGAAGCCTTGGATTTAAATGGAGCTATTGATAATACAAATAATAGTATATGGTGTCCATAGAAATCCAGGTGATATAAAAAGTATTACTCTGATATAATTGCAAAGCAAAGTGAAAGCAGTTTTCTTAACTGAGTAGCATGATCATTTGGTATATTATTAAATATAAACATTCCTTTAAGCCAATACTACACACATTCATTTACCTTGAATTTAATACAAACTGTTATGAAAATTAAGCAAAGAATAAATAAAATTATAGCTATTCTGTGCAATTGGATGCATTTTTCCACTAGATTATAAATAGTTTATTATTCAAAATAAGTTTTGAAATAAAATTACTTATTTGCTTTCTCTGCTGAACATTCAGATGTACAACAGAATTAACCACAGAATATGCAGGAAACAATCATTAGATGATCTGACTACTACTGTGATTAAAATTTTAATTCAGAGTAGTAAAAACAAAACAAAGTAAAGGTGGCGAGGGTGATGAAAACTCATTGTTTTGAATCCCAGAACCTGAGGACCATGTAAAACTGTATTTCAGAAACAAGGAGAGTAATGGTCTAATACCATGAGAAATGCAACCCTGGAGAATCTCTATATTTGAATTAAACCAACCCTAAGAAGACTTTTATTTTTTACCATTTCTTTAACATAACTCAGATGGTGAGTGAGATTTATAGGCATGAATGAAAATGCTTTAACCTATATGTCCTATAGCAGGGGTCCCCAACCCCGCGGCTGCAAACCGGTACTGGTCCACGGCCTGTTAGGAGTCGGGCTGCGCAGCAGGAGGTGAGCGGTGGGTGAGCAAGTGAAGCTTCATCTGTCACTCCCCATGGCTCCGCATGGCTCCACATCGCTCGCATTACCGCCTGAACCATCCCCCCATAGCTCGTGTTACTGCCTGAACACCCCACACCCCAATCTGTGGAAAAATTGTCTTCCATGAAACCCATCCCTAGTGCCAGAAAGGTTGGGGACTGCTGTCCTATAGCTTTTATTTAGCAAGTCTCTTAATATGTGCATAATTACACCAACATCAACTCTTGATCACATTAAGATTTTGGCTTTATCAGTTAAGGAACTCCAATAGGAATGAAATTCGCAGACTCTGAAGTCACGACACAGTGATGGAGCTTTTAATTAAGTCGTGTCGACGTGCTGCTTTTTCTTTTTCCTCAGGTCCTCCCTCGACAGACCTGTGGGTTGTTCACACACACTATTTTCTACAAAGAGTATCCAGGAGGCCCCCAAGAATTGGATAAAAGTATCAGAGGAGGTGAACTTTTCCTCACAATCCTTCTAAACCCAGTACGTATTCTATTTATGCTTTTTACCGTAACATCAGAACTTTCAAATATATGTTTCGTTTTATTTCTATTGTCAACCCTCTCACAAGAATAGTTGCTAAATACTAGAGAGAAATTAGACTAAATCTCCAAATATTCAATTCCCTTTATAATCGTCAATCAAGAAAAACACAGATTGGGCTTCCCTGGTGGCGCAGTGGTTGAGAGTCCGTCTGCCGACGTAGGGTACACGGGTTCGTGCCCCAGTCCGGGAAGATCCCACATGCCACCGAGCGGCTGGGCCCGTGAGCCATGACCGCTGAGCCTGCTCATCCGGAGCCTGTGCTCCGCAATGGGAGAGGCCACAACGGTGAGAGGCCCGCGTACCGCAAAAAAAAAAGAAAAAGAAAAACACAGATTTGTTAAGATTCACATGTTGAATATAACAGTTAAATGTAAGATATCTCAATGTTGTCTCCTATACTTGAATTGTAGTAAAGACATATATACAGTTCTATAACCACAAATTAACATTCACAATAATGTGGTGCATATTTTGTCTATAAGTTGAATTTGCTTCTAGCTCAAGGTATTAGTAGACATACATTTCAGTCTCCAAAAATGATCACAATGCAAAACTGCATTGAAAATACATAGCTATGCACTATCTTTGCATACTAGGGTCATCTGAGGCCTGTTTTTAAAATCTCCATTAATTTTATTTGGAATCAAAACTAGAGAATTTGTCCCTTTCAATTGTGCCCTTTCATCTTTCAAAGTTTTGCAATTTTATTTCCAGTTATATGTGGAAAAGTATAGCAGTGTGGGAATATATCATCATTAGATAATGTTGAGATTATTTCAGCTTTCTCAATTTTTTCCCATAAAGATTCCATTTCTGAGGCCTTAAAGAGGCATGTCCTTTTTTATATCCCACTGCACCAATAAAAAATATGAAATAGTGAGTTGCATGTTATGTCCACCTTGTTTAGTATAAGAAATTTTCATACTCAGGGAAAATGACTCATGCTTTAAACAAAACTATAGCTCAGTTGTCTGTGGCAAAGATCCAGGTATGTTTTAAACAGCTTATTTAGATAATTTATATATGGTGTTTTTAATTCCTAAAGAAATTAAATAAAAACCTACCTTGTGTAAAGATGAAAACTTTTAAATTGGATTGGAGGGATAGGGAAGTGGGGGGCAAAAATGCTTCACATGAGTGTGAGTAATCAACAAACCTCCTCAAACTGCAGAACTATTAAAAACAAAACAAAACAAAACGGTCTGTTGTGTTGGGGTACCACTAAACTGGAGAACCGATTGGATGCTCTATGATCTTAGCAAGAAACTCTATTTCTCAGAGCTTGCTTGCTCTCCTGTAAAACAAGCTTGTTGAACTGGACAGTCTTCAGTGTTCCTCAAAAGTATTCCTTTTGGATATTCCTTTTTTTGTGTATAATTCAAATTCATTGAGACTTAAAAGAATCAAAAACGTTACAAAAATATTTTTTTGGAAATTTAGGTATGCATGTGAATGTTAATGCAAGCAAATGTGGGAAATCTTTCTCTTTAACCGTTCCCTCACTAATTGAGAATTTGATCTCCATAGAGGCAAGGGTCACATCTTCATACCGTTTTCACTCTGGAGCTACACTCCCAACCCCAAATCTGCTCTGGTCACCTACTCAGGGGAAGATATAAGCATCAGAACACTGATGATTGCCCCCCCTAAACCTCTTGCTCCCCAGGTCTGATTGTTACTGATATTTACTACCTGGGTGCCCATCTGACTACTTGTCATTAAAGAGATGGATTTATAACTGGTTTTTTGTTTTTTGTTTTTTGTTTTTTTTGCGGTACGCGGGCCTCTCACCACTGCGGCCTCTCCCGTCGCGGAGCACAGGCTCCGGACGCGCAGGCTCCCCGGCCGTGGCTCACGGGCCCAGCCGCTCCGCGGCATGTGGGATCTTCAAGGACCGGGGCACGAACCCGCGTCCCCTGCATCGGCAGGCGGACTCTCAACCACTGTGCCACCAGGGAAGCCCTATAACTGTTTTTAAAATTTTTGAATACAGTGCTCTTTATAAAACATCATTCAGAGAATAATAGTTGGTCCCTTAAATATGATGAAAGATTATTTGGCATTTCTATCTTTAGCACTTTTTGTGAACTAGCAAAATAAGACTAACCTCACGTAAAAAGCTTACCATTGCCCCACAGATTTGTTTATTTATTTATTTATTTTGCGGTACGCGGGCCTCTCACTGTTGTGGCCTCTCCCGTTGCGGAGCACAGGCTCCGGACGCGCAGGCTCAGTGGCCATGGCTCTCGGGCCCAGCCGCTCCGCGGCATGTGGGATCTTCCCGGACCGGGGCACGAACCCGTGTCCCCTGCATCGGCAAGCGGACTCTCGACCACTGCGCCACCAGGGAAGCCCTCCACAGATTTATTTTAATTGCAGAGGAATAGAACAGTGGAAGAGGGGAGTTTTCAGGAGACTTCTAGAGTCCAATCACAAACTGCAGTTACTTTATCACTGTGAATTGATGGTGATCTTAAAGTAGGATCCGTGAGTAAATGAGAGAGACCCAGATAGACACAGAAGAAAGAGCAATGCTAGAGATAGTCAATAGTGTGGTTCATATAGGACATTCTATGTATGGCGATATGAGCCTGGATCAGACAAATAATGGTCCACAAAGATATGGGAGTAAGGAATAATGTTGCTCAAAACATGAACAGCATAGCCATAGGCAATCCAGGTAGATGCTACTCAGCTCTCTATGGAGACAGGCTGCAAGCAGCATCTGACAGAACCCAGATCAAAACAGGGCTTAGTTCTAGAGCTGCATACGCAGAAGTTACCAGATGTAGTAGTCAGGGTTCTCCAGAGAAACAGAACCAAGAGGATGAGTGGGAGAAGAGATTTATTACAAGGAATTTGCTTATGTGTTTATGGAGGTTGACAAGTCTCAAAATCTCAAAATCTATAGTCAACAAGCTAGAGTCCCAAGAGAGCTGATAGTGTAGTTCTAGTAGAAGTTCTATGGCTTGAGAACCAGGAGACCTAACGGTATAGTTCCTGTCCAAAAGCTGGCAGGATTGAGACCCAGGAAGAGCCAGTGTTTCAGTTCAAGTTCGAAGGCAGGAAAAAAAACAAAAAACAAAAAACAAAAAAAAAAACCCAAAAGCAACCATCTTGTTCAAAGGCAATCAGGCAGGAGGAGTTCCTTCTGACTCACAAGAGAGTGAGACTTTTTGTTCTATTTGGCCTCAACTGACTGGATGAGGCCCATCTACATTAGGGAGGGCAATCTGCTTTACTCAGTTGATCAATTCTGTTGTTAATCTCATCCAAAAGCATCCTCACAGACACACCCAGAATAATGTTTCAGCAAATATCTGAGTAACCTGTGGTCCAGTTGAGTTGAGACATAAAATTAACTATCATTCCTAATGAGGAACTTAAGATGGGAGCAGACTGGAAGTAAGTGAAATGAAAAGGGGAACACAGAAAGAGGGGAAGAAGTGATGAATGAAGTAAAGATAATGTAAGCTTGGAATTTTTTGTACGTGTGTCCTATTGTGAATAGAGAGGCATCACAGATGATGGGCTATGATCAATAGTCACTTAAAAGAAGTATTGAGGCTGCTTGATTAATTATTATTTTTAGTTATATGGTTCCAGCAAGGCTGGCAAAGATGGAGTCTTCAGGAAGAGAATGAGGAAAGAAGAAAACAAAAAATAATACTGATACCCAGCCTTCTCCTCTGGTCTATTCTTTTTCTCTAGTCATCACTTAATTCTTTGTCAGAATAAAGAGTATCTCCTTATTCTTTCACCAAAACCATGCTGAAGAAAAAAAATCTATAAATTAATTGATGTGAAGGTATGTTTTCAACATTAATTAATTAATATGCTAACTCTAAAGAATATTTCTATTCTAACAGAGCCTATTCCCGAATGAGAGGTCTATGATTGTATTAATTTAGGTATCAAAGTTCCTTGGGGAAATATGATTTTAGTAAAAAGCATTCAACATCCATGAAATCGTAGAGAAAGATGACTGACCACTTCTTCTACCTAGGAAAATTGATGTCTGTGAGGGCTTATAAGTAGGATAAGTGATCATAGTGTTAGCGTAAACTCTAAAGATTTAAGGCCAATCTAACTTTATTTCAATTTTTCAATAATGATCTATACTTTCACATCATGGAAATACTGTAGACATCCTATATTATAACACCTCTCCTGCGTGGTGATTTTCTCCTCTGATTTGTAAATGATCCATAGAATTTTGTCCTTTTACTTTTTGGTTTTCAGTATGTTAATGAGTGGATGAATAACAATATAGATAGCATGACACAAAGCTGGCAGTGACGGTAATTACACCAGATGATAATGTTAATACCCAGTTATACTTAGCAAATTGGAGTGACAGACAAAATCTAGCAAGATGAAATTTAACAGGGAATAATGAAAAGCCCCCAAATTACTTTCAAACAAAATAGTGTATAATGCCAGCATTATATAAGGATAAATATTATATAAAGATAGAGTAAATCTGCCAGAAAATTGTATGGGCTGCATCATGTCCTATTCAGTTCCTTGTCATTGAAGTTGTCTAAACAGAAATTTTGTAGGAATGTGGAATCTCTTACTTTTAATCTGACGCTAAGACTGTGATTCTGTTCTTATCCAGTTAGACGTGGGGCATATCTTTTTCACTGTAAAATATAAAAAATATGAAGTAGGTTTAATTTTACATATTACAGACCAGCATTATGTATTTAGTTTTAGTCTATGATTATAAGGTCAGAGGAAAAAGGGAAATGGTAACATCAACATGTATAAGAACTAAAAAATGAGATTAAAATGGGAAGATATTCAGTGGTATATGTATTGAGGGAAGTAGAAGAGAAAACATTTTCTATCATCAATATACTGAAAGAAATATTAGTGCCAGATTTAGCAGACCATTTTGAACTGGTCGGTAGTTTCTAGATTCATTTGTATGC